GTAAGTTTCAGCAGCAAGCTGAGCAGTACAGACCCCAAAGACAGACGCTATGTACTCCACAACCATTAGGAGAAGGAGGGAAGTGTAGACCTGGAGGACAAACAGCTGCTGCCAGCTGCAATTTGGGTGGGAGAGGCCAGACCTGTGCTTTCAAAAAGCAAGGGCACCTAAATTCAACTCTGACAGAAGGTTCCTAAGCACAATAGGAACACTGGGGCAGAACTTCCTCCTGCAGCAGCCTCAGTGCCAACTGCCCGGAGGCTCCCGAGAACTGGGGAGCAGTTACTGCCATTGCATCACTGCTCCACGGGAAGGGGCCGCTGCAGAGACTACCAGAAGAGAGCAGTTGGACGGCAGCAACTCCCGGGGGCCAGGGGCGGCACTGTACTGGACAGGCCTGTCCAGAGGGGCTTCCTTCAGAATTCAAACCTTGGGCTCTTTTCTAAGGCAGGTTTGAAAAAGATTGAAAGCTCCCTAAGAACAAGCGGCTCCTCTAGGGCTCAAGGAGGGTAAAGGAGGTAGACCAGCAGGGCGACGGTCTACCAGCCCAAATACTAACGACTGGTTAAACTTGCAGCCGTTCTCAACCTGTGGGTCAAGATTCCTTTGGGGGGTGAAGGACCCTTTCACAGGAGTCACCCAATCCATAACAGCAGCAAAATTACAGTTATGAAGTAGCAACGAAGATAATGTTATGGTGGGGGAGGGGAGGGTCACCACAACATGAGGAACTGTCTTAAAGGGTCGCGGCACTAGGAAGGTTGAGAAGCACTGGTTGAAAGCCTCTTCAAGAAACTAACTCCTTAAACTCCAAGTGCAGTCTAGAATCAGCAGTGCCTGCAGGCTCCCGGCCCCATCCCCAAGGCTGAGTCACAATCCGTCTAGGCCAAACTCCCAGGAGTGAGCGCGAGACTCGTCTGGGGAGCTGGGGAGCTGTCCTCTGGTCCTGGGCTACAGTTTTCCAGAGAAATATGCTACGCTGGCTTCCAAAATCTCTGAAAACAGGGGGCTATTTCATTGTAAATGATTTCCAGGGCTGCAAAGCCTACCCCAAATTAATGATTTCTTCTGCAAAGCCTATTACTCTCAACCACCCTAGTTCCTATCACAGTGGGCAGAAAGCTATGGGGGAAATTCTAACCATTATTCTTAAATTTGCCTAAAATCCAGTTTTCTGTATGTAAAAAGAACATTAACAGACTGTTCTTAAAAGAACAGGGTACCTGATTCACATAGAACTTAAGATATTCTATGGCATGTCATTCCTGTGTGTGTACGCTCACTGCCATTGCTGTGTGTGTAAGCTCACTGCCATTGCTGTGTGTGTAAGCTCACTGTCACTGAGGGTTTCACAGCCTGTGACTCTTTACAGGAACAAAAAGCCTCGTCTTTTTCCCTAGGAGCAGCTGGTGGCTTCAAACTGCTGACCTTGAAGACTGCAGGCCCCAACTTTGCCACCACTGTGCCAGCAAGACTCCTCCTGTGTGCACAGGAGACAACTGTGAAAGTCTGTAGAGTAAGTCAAGAAGTTCTTTTGTGATCACGAGGTGTCGAAGGGATCAGGTATCAGGCAGCAAAGAACAAAAAATCTTGTTGTGTGCTCACCTCCCAGATACAATTGCCGAAGACAAATTGGTGCATAAGCAAATGTGGTGAAGAAAACTGATGGTGCCCGGCTATCAAAAGATATAACGTCTGGGGTCTTAAAGGCTTGAGGTAAACAAGCAGCCATCTAGCTCGGAAGCAACAAAGCCCACATGGAAGAAGCACACCAGCCT